ATAGTCATGAAAGAGATGATGTCGTTGCTTATTAAAAAGAATTTCTTGAAATTATGTTCTAGTAACAAATTTATTTTTATTTAAATTAAATTAGACTATATTATATTTTTATATTTATAGTATATTTTATGTATATAATTTTGTAGTTATCAAAAGTTAATGCCAAAATTTACTAGTGATAAACTTGAAATTAGGATTGATTCAGAATTAGAAGGTGAACAACAAGTACATGTTCTTGTTACCTATGATGAAACAACTTTTCAATCAAATGATGGACAAAAATCAGGTTGAAGACCTAAAAATGAATAACCTTTATGAAAAAAAAGTTAAGGAAAAACTATTCATGTTAGTGATTTTTTAACTGATACAATTGGAAGATTGAAATTAGATGAAAAAGAGATTGATGATACAATTCCAAATAAAGCTCATGTTATGATTAATCCTGGAAAAAATTTTGATGGATGGTGGAATGTTGATCAATTAATTGACCAGGTATTTTTTTATTATAATAAATTAATATATGTTGAATTATTCAAAAAAACTAATATAATTTAAATGTAAATTATTAGATTAAAACTCGGGCTATACCAATTTTTAAAAAAACACATCCAGGCATGATTGCTATATTTGCTTTTGATAATTCTTCTAGTCATACAAAACTGGCTGATGATACTTTTAATGCAGCAAATATAAATCTTAATCCTAGTGGTAAGCAATCAATTATGCGTGATACAATATTTAATGATTAAGTTCAATCTATGGTATTTCCTTTTGATTATCCTAATGAAACACTTCGTGGAAAACCTAAGGGAATGAAAGTAGTTTTACAAGAGTATGATTTATAGGGTTCTGAATTAAAAGCCTTTTGTGGTAAAAATAATATATCATTAGAAAATCCAAGATATTGTGCACGTCATGTTTAGCTACTCAAGAAGATTTTTGTAATCAAAAACCATTATTACAAGAAATTATTAAAGGATTAGGACACAAAGTAATTTTTTATCCAAAATTTCATTGTGAACTCAATTACATTGAGATGTATTGGGAAACTGCAAAATGATATACCCAACAACATTGTAATTATACATGGAAAGGATTACAAGAAACTGTTCCAAAAGCATTGGATTCAGTTTCTTTAAGTCATATATGTAAATATGCTTAGAAATCAGCAAAATTTATGGAGTATTATAGGAAAGGATTAACAGGTTTACAAGCTATGTATGTTTTAAAAAAATATAAATCACATTGAACTGTTCTAGACTTTGTTTTTAAAAACATTGATGAATTAATAAAATAAAATTTTATTAGATTATATTTGTCATGTGATTAAATTTTTAGCTAATTACAAATTAGTATTGTATTTATCATGTGATTATACGAATTTTTAAAATTTGAAACATATATAAATGACTTGATGACTTTTAATGAAATACACTATACAAATTTCTAATAATTTATCTAATAATAGTGGTGAATTTTTTAATTTAACAACAAATTGATAAAGTTTTTTGATTTCATCTCCTATATATTTCATTTCAGCTTTTACTGCCAAGTTGATAATGTGAGCAGCACATCGAAAATGAATAAAAGACATATTATTAAATTCTTGATCTAATTTAATTGCTAATTGATTACCACATACTATCATATTGCTTCCATTATCTGTTGTCATAGCAAGAATATTTTGACTAATATTGAATTCTTCAAAAAGTTGTGAAAGTTTGCTTATAATTAATTCAGCTCTATGAGAACCATTTATAGGAATTATATCAAACAAAAGATTCTTTAATTCCCAATTATTATTAATATAATGAATTGTTATTCCAAGATAACAATCTTTTGGATCTGATG